ATATTGTGTTTTTAATTTCAAATTCCACTTGTTTGTTGCTGGTATATAAGAAAGCAATTGACTTTTGTATACTAACCATGTGTCTTGCAACCTTGCTACAATCTCTTATTAGTTCCAGAAGTTATTTTGTTGATTCCTTCAGATTTTTTATATACACAATCATGTCATCTGCAAGTGAAGACAGCTTTATTTCTTTCTTCCCAATCTGTATACCTTTTATTTCCTTTTCTTGTTTTACTGAATTAGCTAGGACTTCCAGTATGATATTGAAAGTAAGTGGTGAGACGGCAATATTCTTGTCTCGTTCCTAATCTTAATAGGAAGCCTTCTAGTTTTTTTACCATTGAGTATAATGTGTGAAAATTGTCAGAATCAAGAAGAGTCACTTGTGTCAAACCCTGACAAAATGGAGCTTGGGAAGACCATGAAGAGAGAGTCTCATACGTGATGACAAGAAATATCACAAAAGACTGTCAAAACTACAACTTTGCACAAAGACCAGTAAAATCTTATAAAAAAAAAGTACTTCTGTGACAACATCTGCTCAGCAACTGCCTGTTTAAGCTTGGACTGACACTAGCCTTGTTATTGAACCTAGTAACCATAAATAATTATTTCAGAATCGCTTATAAGACTTTCTTCATTTTATCTTTAAAAACCCTTGTCTTCCTTTGCTCCACTGAATATGCCAACAGAAATCCCCATGGCAATACTCATTCCCCAGTAAACTTATCTTTGGAGAATCTGCTTGGTTTTTATTTTGCAAATGTTAGGCATAGAGATGCTTTATCAAGTTGAGGGAATTCTCCTCTATTCCTAGTTTACTAAGACTTTTTATTATGAATGGGTGTTGAGTTTTGCAGCAAGAAGGCCCTTGGCAGATGTGGCTCCTTGATTTTGAACTTCTCAGTCTCCAGAACTGTGAGGAAACAAATATCTGTTTGTTATAAATTACTCAGTCTTTGGCATTCTGTTACAGCAGCAAAAATAGACTAAGACACCTACTCTCCCACAACTCCTCCTCAGCCCAGACTCAAGGGAGGAGAGGGGCACTGACCTGCTTCTAGGATGCAGCAATGAGCCCAAGTTATCTTTGTATTATTTAAACATTTAGTAGTCTGAACTTTTAAATGTGTTTTAAATTGGTAGCCTACAAACTGATTTCAGGACTCAGATTTTGGAATTTTGCCCATGGGTGCAAATCCCATGGGTTCAAATGTCAGTGCAGAGATGTGCTCTCATCTCCGGCTCTCTTTCCACACAGAAGAAGGTTCAACCACCTCATCACTTTCTGACATCCCCATATAACTGTTAATACAGTAGTAAGTCAGTCCTTGCCAGAGCCCTTCAAACCTGCTCAGTCATTCCTTTCTCTGACTTTGTGGGAAGGACTTTCTGTTTTACACAAGCAGCCAGAACAAGACAATCACCACATCGCACATTCAGCACGAAGCACTGGGGCAAACGTATTCTTTCTAACTCTGTTTTCTGGTTACATTTTTGTCTCACATTCCTTCATTCCTCCACCTGACACTGGCTTTCTATTTTAGACCACCTTAATAGGAGGATCCAAGATTTGGGTTTGGGTTTTGTGGAGAATAGTCTCCTTGGATCTCAGGTATATGTCAGGGGACTCAGCTCAGCTGGCCAAGGTTTTGTGAATGATCTTGGTTCAAAGCCGTAGCCAGCAATACAACTGATATGGTTTGGCTATGTCCCTACACAAATCTCATCTTGAATTCCCATGTGCTGTGGAAGGGACCTAGTGGGAGGTAATTGAATCATAGAGCAGGTCTTTCCTGTGCTGTTCTCTTGATGGTGAATAAGTCTCACAAGATCTGATAGTTTTATAAGGAGGTGTTCCCCTGCACAAGTTCTCTCTCTTTGCCTGCTGACATACATGTAAGGCATGCCTTGCTCCTCTTTGCCTTCTGCCATGATTGTCAGGCTTTCCCAGCCACGTGAACTGTAAGTCCATGAAATCTCTCTCTCTTTTTTTTTTTTTTTTTTTTGTAAGTTGTCCAGTCTCTGGTATGTCTTTATCAGCAGCATGAAAATGGGTGAATACAGCAACAAACCTTGGATTCCCATTTGCCTTTTTCACTTGTTCACACATCACCGTTGGGAAACTCCTGGAGAGGTGGTACTGTGATTTGGAGTAGGACACAAGTGCTTCCAGATCCCTGCCATATTACAGTCTTAATGGCACACTGGTTTTTACCACATGCATGAATAAAGACAAAATATAAGCCCTATTCTACAATGTTGAAATATTCAGAAAAGAGATAACAACATATCTTACTACCAAAGATCATCTCACATAGTAAGACATATATATATATATATAAAATATAATGTGTATATAGAATTAACTCACAATTTTGGAGGCCAGCAAGCTCAAAATCTGCAGAGCTAATATCTCAATTTGAGTCTGACAGCCAGAAGCTATAGAACTAGGAAGAGCCATTGCTCCAGTTTGAAGGCTATTAGGCAGGAAAATTATCTCTCACGTGGGGGAAGATCAGCCTTTTGTTCTATTCAGGTCTCCAACTGGTTGGATAAGGCTGGCCTGTATTACAAGGGTAACCTGCTTTGCAAAGTCCACTAATTTAAAGATTGATTTCATCCAAAAACACCCTCACAGAAACACCTAAAATAGTGTTTAACCAAAGATCTGAGCACTGCATGGTTCAGTCAGGTGACACATGAAATTACTGTCACGTGGGGTTAGTACAGCCGGCACAGCATTACAGATTGGGGGTTCTTGGCTCTATTAAGAAGGTATCTGGCTTCTGACTATGACAGAGAAGTTAGTGTCAGATTAACTCTTTCTTAAGAAAATTATAAAAGACAAATACAATATAAAATTTAGATGGCTGAAGGTACTGGAGCACAATGAGGAATGCTATAACTTAAAAATTGGGAGAAGATTCCAGAGAGAGGAGAACTGCACTGAGGTGAGGCTTACATTTGCTGCTGTTGTTTTCCTGTAGGACTTTTGCTGGTTTTAAGTCTGAGGCATAAAGGTGAACAGAAGACAGTCACTTAGAGCAGGAGTCCCCAATCCCCCAGGCCATGGACTGGTACCAGTCCGCGTCCTGTGAGGAACTGGTCCACACAACAGGAGATGAGCTTCAGGCTAGCAAGCAAAGCTTCATCTGTATTTACAGCAGTTCCCCACTGCTCGCATTACTGCCTGAGCTCCACCTCCTGTTACATCAGCAGTGGCATTAGATTCTGACAGAAGTGTGAACCCTATTGTGAACTGTACATGCAAGGGATCTAGGTTGTGCACTCCTTATGAAAATCTAATGCCTGATGATCCATCACTGTCTCCCATCACCCCTGGATGGGACTGTCTAGTTACAGGAAAACAAGCTCAGGGCTCCCACGGGTACTACTACATTATGGTGAGTTGTTTGATTATTTCATTATGTATTACAATGTGATAAGAACAATAAAGTACACAATTAATGTAATGTGCTTGAATCATCCTGAAACTATTCCTTGCAGCACCGATCTGTAGAAAGATTGTCTTTCATGAAACCAGTCCCTGGTGCCAAAAAGGTTGGGGGCTGCTGGCTTAGAGCCTTTAATAGTGACAATGGGTTGGAGAAACAAAAATTGGAGTTCAGAGTTAACATTCAGAGTCAACAAGTAATTAGGATTCAAGGGATCAAGTTTCCAGATAAAAGATAATCATGATGAAGCAGATGCAATATCCTGCATGCAATTTCCCTTCAAGGTAATTTTCTGCGTCATAAGTGATGCATGTGTGGGATGAGATATCAAGTAATTATGCCAAAGCCACCTGCTAGAAGGGCAGAGATTTTAGCAGCCTCACAGAATGAAAGAGACAAAAACTGGTGTATAAACATGTCAACAGGGAGGAGCCCTCACAAATAGCCCAGGCTCTCAGTTGACATCTCCCAAAGATAACATTATAGGGGTAAACCCCAAGAGAAATAAACCAGACTCCCCAAAGGACTGAAATCCATCCTTGGCTGAATCAAAGTAATCTTTTTATACTCGATCTGCCTGAGAAGAAAATCAAATCTCCTCTTGAGGAAGATAGTATTACCCAAAGCCACATAATTTTTGATGCACGCTGTGAGGAATTCGGTGAAAATGACCAGGCATTCCAGGTAACAGAAAAACCAATTAAACACCAAGAGAACAGCATAGAATAGACTATAGAGATTCACAGGTAATCAGATATTGGAGTTATCAAACACAGGATTTAAAATAACCATGACTATCCTGTGTAATAAGATGGAAGAAAATATAAAGAACTTCGTAGAGAACAAAAATGCATAAAAAGAATAAAATAAAAACCCTAGCACTAAAAATTAAAATAACTGAAATTAAAAGTTTTATAGATTTATTTAAAAGCAGATCAAACATAGCAGAAAAGACTACAAGTATAAGATAGGCATAGTAGAAAACATCCAGATTACACACGGGAAGAAAAAAGAATAGAAAATGCAGAAAAGAGCGAAGGAGACATGGCACATCACGAAGACATCTGATATATGTTTGACTGTCCCAGAGAAAGAAGAGAAAATGGAATAGAAGCAATTTTTAAAGAGATAGTATCTATTTTCCAAAACAGACATCAAGTTGTATATTCAAGGTGTGTGAACCCTAACATTAATTAGGATTAATTAAGATTAAGATTAATTAGGATTAATACATGGAAAACTATACCTAGGAATGTCATTTGAAAACAATTGAAAGACAAAAACAAAGAGAAAAATGTTAAAGCAACCAAAAGGAAAAATGGATTACCTGCAAAGGATAATAATAGTAATCACAGATAACTTTTTAACTCAGACAATGAAAGCCAAAATGGGTGACATCTTTATAGCCCTGAAAGAGAACATCTGGCTATCTAAAATTGTGTGCCCAGTGAAAATATCCTTCAAGCATGAAGGCAGAACAAAGACGTTTTCAGATGAATCCGTCTGGGTTAGGAAAACAGAGACACTCCAAATACTCTGTGAAATAAAAAGTTTTAATATAGGACTTGAGGCTTATATAAGTGTGGGAAGAGAAGGGGTGGGGCAGCTGGAGAAACAGAGTCACCAGCCACTGTAGCCAGAATTGGTGGAGTGGGCAGAAAAACAAACAAACATTGAAAGCAAAACTAAACAACATAAGCAAATAAAATACTTCTATAAAACAAAGCTGGAGGACTTGACATAATATCGAGACTTATAAAGCTAGATTACACAATGGAAGACAAATCATTCAATAGAATTGTAAATAGACAGTCTAGAAACAGACCCACCCATACATAGAAAACTTTAAAGATCTCAGCTCTGTTCATGGCTAGAATAAAGGGAATAGAAATTTTACAAATATTTTCATGGTCTCTGTGAAACACATAGAACCTTGAGGTGGAATGACAGACACCAGTGTCCCCAGTGATATTTTCATTACTTGGCCCTGTGTGTTCATATAGGCTGGAACTGGCCAGGGCATTAGTCCCCACATTCCAAGCCACTTACCTCCATTCCAGGGTCAAAATAAGTATACTGGGGACTCTATGGCCTTACAAAGATGGTTCAATTCCACCAGAGAGAGCATTGCAAGATCTCTGAAAATATAAATTTTAGATGGCTGTTGACTTATCTTGAAAATGGTCCATTCTTCTAGGTGGTTAAAAGGTTGGTTTGGAGTGTAAATACATCTGAAATGTGTGCTTACGGAGACTCTTACCTAATTCACAGATGACTGAAGGAGACATCTTGGGGGGAAAAGGAGAAACAACCCAGTGAACAATCTCTAACAATGATGCTTTTCTAGAGAAAATCATGTGGCTCTCCTTCATGTGGGCCTCTGCAATTTCAGCCCTGATCCCTGGGCCAGCATTCCCCCACTTAATGCCATAGTGTCGTAGCTAATGTTCCTGCAGTAAGAATGGTTCTATTTTCAAGATGTCACCTTTAGTGCCCAGATAAAGCCCCTGAGGCCTCTCCATCAACACTTTTGAGTTTTGATGTGCTGCCTTCACGGTTTCGCTGGGAAGTAGTTATGTGGCCAGTGACCACTGCGGGGATTTTGACATTACCTGGCACTGAGCTCTGCTCTGTGGGAGGAAAGAGCACCCTTGACAGTTGGAAGAGCCAAAAGATGGGGCCAGAAGGAAACTTCATTGAGCACCTAGTGTATATCAAGTGCTTAATGTTTCATATTTATGTCTTCATTTGATTTCTACAATTCTGTAAAGCAAGGTTTACACTTTCCATTTTGCAAAAGAACTTGAGGCACAGAGGGGTTGAGCAATGTGTCCAAGGTTGTCCAGCCAGCTGAAGGGTGTAAGATGTCACTAGAGTCCAGGGAGCCTGCCTCAACTGGCCTCCCAAAGAGAAGGGAAGGCAAGAGGCCAAAGAGAGAGAGTGCTGTCTACACAGCTTAGAGTAAAGCGGGGTCTCTCTCACTAAGTTCTCTCCCAAAACTGAGTGTACTTTTATACCATGTCCTTCACCAGGCTGCTTTCTTTCCTGCCTCTGAGTCTTTGTCATGGAATTCTGCCACGTGGTACAACTTCCCCTCACAGCATTAAGGTAGAAAAGGTTTTACTATTTACCCTATGCTAGTGTCTGTACCAGAATACAGAAATAAACAACAAAGGGCACATCCCTGTCCTCAATCAGTGCTTCTTAAACCACCAACTTTCCATCCATGCTTCTGGGTCTTTCCCTAGAAAGTCTTCCCCAGATGCTCCTGCTCTTGTGACTTCTTCCCTCTCCTACTTCCGATGACCCTGGGAGTTGGATCCTTGCAGTGTGGCAGCCAACGAGGCATGGCTGAAGGGCTTTTAAGTTGTGCTCACAAAAGGAAGTGTGGCATAGAGATGAAACAAGCAGGCTACGGAGATGAACAGCCTGGGTTCAAATCCAGGCTCCAGATATGCTAGCATGTTGTGCTTCAGTTTACCCACCCGTAAGATGAAGATGTAGCAGTGCCTCCCTCCTATGACTGTTGGAAATAGTGTTTATGGACATCTGTCAATTGCTTATATTGGTGTCTAACATTCAGTGAACACAAGATATGTCTCAATAGTGTGTTCCCTAGGCAGCACTGGGTGCAGGAGACGGAAGCCTTGAAGGGTTCGTCCATACCTCCATGTCAGTTAATGAATATCTTTAGACCACTGACTACTTTGGTTTCAATCAAATGCCACTTTCTCAGAAGAGATGACAGGGAGGGATCTTTCAGTTGCAGTTTTCTTTAACCAAGAAGGATGATTGTGGAGACATTGCAGCCTTGGGCTTAAATCCAGCTTCGCCACTGAGTAGTCCACTTTGTCACCATCAGGGGCCAGCTGCCCCTTCGTGTGCACCATAGAGACTTTCCCGGGCATATTCTTGACCAGTCTTTGCTGACCAGTCCTTGAACAGTCCTTGCTGTTGTCATACAGTACATATTTCACTTACTTGTTTTGTTTACTGCTGGGTTTCCTCTGCTAGAATGTAAGCCCCATGTAGGCAGGACCTATCATCTGTTTTGTTCACTGCTGCATTCCCAGTGCCTGGCATAGGAGGTGTTTAATAAATCTGCATTGAAGCAGTGGATGCATGTGTTCTGATAGCCCTGCATGCAGCATGGTCGGTGGTCGAGTGGACCGCATGTTGCCATCCTGGCTGGCCCTTACCCTGGCTTCACCCTACTCATTCTTATCTACGCCCAATTGACAGATGACTCCCCCATTACTACTTAGTCCATATCCACATCTGCCCACAGGCCTGCAGCTACTCTCCACTGTCTACAAGACCACACTCACACCCACTCCACGGGGACCTAAAACCTCCAACCTTTTATCTCTGAACACCTCTCTAACACTGCCTTCCACCATGACCCTACCTGAACTTTCCATGGCTGCAAAGCTGGTTTTCTCTCATTTTACTGGAACATACCTTTTCCTCTCTTTACCCATTGCTTTTGCCGATCACATCTCTCCTCTGGCCTCTCCCAGACTGTCCTACCCTTTTCTCTTTATTTAAAGCTTACCTGGTCTTCAGGATCTGAGCCTCACCTCCTTGGAGTAGGTCAGGAGTTTCCACCACTGTAGCACTTTTTGGGATGGCTCCTTCCTAGATACTAACCACCTATATCCTACCCTCCAGTGTGTCTGGGCACGGAGTTCATTGTAGTGATGGGTATTATCATCCAAGTGGTACACACAGGCAGCTGGGCATCTCTTTCTGCTTCCCAACTAGTTTCAAATGAATGTCTCTTGGAGGGGCACACATGGGGGAGTAGGACTTTCGATCTCTAATGGAGGCTCCATCGCAACTGAATATGGCCCCCAATTCACCCCGCTGACCCTGCCCGACGTCCGTCATCCCTCCCGGCCATGTTTGCCTTCCTGCTTTCTTTGGTCTTTGTGTTGCCCTGGGCTCTGATGCTCTATTCTTGCTGCTTGAACTCGACCTCCCTCCAGGTTGACCCATGATTACGCTGGCCCATCCACACACCTGGTTTTCTACATGGGGTGTAGTTTGGAGCCCTGACACAGGTCCAACCTCCTCTTGAGGGGATCTAGCCCCTGATGTCTGGGCAATGACATTTTAGGACAACCTCTCTTGTCTGTACAGCACATATTGGCCATTATGAAGGGAGAAACTTGCTTACTCCTGCTGATGCCCTCTGTGTTTTTCACTATGACCCTTACCCAAAGGACACGCAGCAAGTATCTACAATGGCGGCAGCAGCGGTGGACGTCTCCTGGGAGGCCATAACACGAGGGTTGTTCTCATTTTCAACTTTCTGAGCACAGTTAACACCAGATTTGGGACAATTGTGAGTGAGTGGCTAGAAGCTGGCCCTCCCTTGTAAGCATTGCTCTTTAGTGTTCACAGAACCCAAGGTCAACTTTATTAGAATCTCGGCACACTGATTAACTGGTCCACATAGCAGCCCCAGGATGCAGGCTGGTGCTGCCCTATCTGTTTGGTCTAGGGCGAGATAAGATAACCCCTGGCCTCCCACCACGGTTACCCTGCAACTGGGTTGACAACTTTTCCCAGGAAGAGTAAGCTCTGGGTGGTCACCTCCCAAAGGAGCAAGAGGAAAGGCCTGTTGAAGTGGGCATGTGGGTCTGACATGGTGTTCAGAGATGGGGGCTGGGAGAGGAGGCCTGAAGCAGCCCCGGCCTCGGTCCCCTTCTCACTCATGTCCACCATCACCTTGTGTGACACCTAGAGGACAAGAGGGGATGAAGACAGCATCAGTTCGGGGGCCTTCAAGGAGAAGACACTGCGCATCCCAAGGGTTTACACCGACATCACCCATCACTCTTTAATGGGGAGACGAAAGGGCCTGAACTAGAGTGCTGCTAAGCAGGTACCAGGTTGCAAAACCCAAAAACAACTTTTAGGAGCATCTCTCCAGCCTCTGGGTGTACCTGTGGCACAGGCCTTATTGTCACTTTCTGCTACAAGCTCCACATAATCTCTCTAAGTCTCGGTTTCTCATCTATAAAATGGCTCACTCAGCTTAAATCAATGATGTTCAGAAAGTGCTCAGCATGTCTGATGTGCCAAGCCTTCTGCCAACCTCTGTGCCAAAAACTTCCCTTTTTTAAGTCCCATTTTAACACTACTTCCTAGGAAGAAAGGATTTTGAGGCTTTGAAAAAAGTGGATAAAACATTGGCCTTGATGATCACTTTCAATTAACTAAAAAGCGATATTAAAAGATAGATCTAGCATTTAAGGTCAGTGTGAAAAAAAATCTTTTTTTTTTTTTTCTTTAAAAAGCTAGGCCGGGTGCGGTGGCTCACGCCTGTAATCCCAGCACTTTGGGAGGCCGAGGTGGGTGGATCACCTGAGGTCAGGAGTTCGAGACAAGCCTGGCCAATATGGTGAAACCCCATCTCTACTAAAAATACTAAAAACTAGCCAGGCATGGTTGCAGGCTATAATCGTAGCTACTTGGAAGACTGAGGCAGGAGAATCGCTTGAACCTGGGAGATGGAGGTTGCAATGAGCTGAGATTGCACCATTGCACTCCAGCCTGGGCGATAAGAGTGAAACTCTCTCTCAGAAAAAGAAAAAAAAAAAAAGCTAAACTACTTCTTTTCCCTTTTTGTTAACTCTCCAACGTACACACACACACATGCACACACATGCAAATATGCACGCACACATATGCATGCATGCACACGCACGCACACACACGTGTACGTGCACACAAGACCGTGTCTCCATTGCCTTGGGTGCACATTCACCCCCTCAGCTGACCTTCCCCAAATAAAAGACAGAATAACTTCCTTATGAAGTTTCTAATGAAGACTCAAATGGTAATGGACAAGTCTATCCTAAAACGAAGTGGACAGCTGAAGCTCAGGGAAAGGCCTTTGTGTCTTCTCTTCCATGACGAATGCATTGTTATTCCCAAATATGTACTCTGTCTTCCCATTGGAGGGTTATTGGCCCTTGACAGTTCCATAGGACCGGCAGTGCTGCCTGCAGGGGGAGATGATCTGGACTGTGGGACTTGCTTCAACTGATGGCACGTGAGTGGCCATGGCACAGGCTGTGTGGGGGACAAGTGTTTAGAGCCATGTGCACATCTTCTTTTGCTTTCCTCCCCTGGTATGAAAATGGTTTGCCCCAAACAGGGGCTTCTTTAACCTACATCCTGGAAGGGAGATGCGTGCAGCAGCCCTGTGGCTGATGGTAGTGACCTGCTTCTGACAGGTAATATGACCAGGAAATAAGCATTTGTTACAGTAAGGCACTGTAACAAAACAACTGGGATTGTTTTGTTACTGCAGCAAAGCTGACTGTGGCACCTCTAGTTCATACCTCACTACCCTCTAGAGCTACAACAAAGGCAGGTAGAGTTTCACTGCTGTCCTGGAAAGAGGTATCAGGAATCAAAATAAAGCTTTCCAACACCTGGGGAAATTCTGGCTGCATGGTTGACCCCAAAAGACCATCAGTTCTATTTAGAACCCTGTATTCCTGTCCTGAAGAATAGAAGGAACCTAAGGAAGGGGAGATAGAGAAGGAGAAGCCTATTAAAGACTGTGGTATTAAATAGTCTACATAGGACAAAGAACAGAGAACTTGACTTTTAAATGTCCCACATGCCAAAGGAGAAACCTCCTCCCTGCCCCCACCTGCCCACACACATCCATATTCACCACCTTACCCTGGAGATGGTTTTGTTGAGCTGCCCAGTGACTCCTGAGAAGTCAGCTTCTAAGTTGAGTATGTCGGTGAGACCAATTTGGGGAAGTATGTCTTCCAGGTTATATGTTCCAGAAATTGAAAGCCTTGGCAAGTGCAAATCCAACAGACTGGAGAGAGAAACACAGAGAAATGGTGCTCTCTTGTTATATGTGCCACTCTTGCTCTGTATGTTGGCAGCCTGAGCCGTGGGGGAGAGAGGCATTTCCCAGCACGAGAGGCAACCAGCCTTCCCATGACACTGTTCACTATGGCGGACCATTCCACTACCCATACCAACAGCTCCCTTCTCTTTGGACCTCCTGGAATATCTTGTGGTTGGATCTGAGAAGACTCCAGGCACAGCTACATGTCTTTGTCATCTTCATCACATTTATAGAGGGCTTTCTAGGTGTCAGATATTGGCTATGTTTTTTCAAGTCTGAACTGATGGAATCCACATCATGACCACATGAGGTAAATGCTGTCAACATCTTCCCACTTCCATATCTGATACATCAGCAAGTTCTGTTGGCTCAGCTTCTGAACTAGGTCCTAAATCCACCTCCTGGCATCCCCTAATACAAGCAGCCATCGTCTCTCACCCGTCTCCGCTTCAGGTTCCTCATGTTTGTTAAATGATATAGTGATGCCCCCTCCTAAGGGCTGTTGCGAGGATCTGATGGGAGATCATGTGTGTTGGGCACAGGGCACAAATGAACTCTCGCTCCTGTGTTTGGGGCATCTTTACCAACTGATTGCGACATTTCCCTGAGTTAAGTTCAGAAATTTCTTTGGGTCTACAGCAAATCTGCCCTTTCTCTCTGGTGCTATTGTTCTTTTTAATTATGATTTGACAGCTACCCAGGCACCTGAAAGCATGACTAGTTCATGATCAACTTGAATACCTCTGCCTCAGAAAATTGAATTCAGGTTAGAGAATCATGGCTGGTTTGACTCCTGGGCAATACGAGGGTCTGGATGCCTAGTTGAAGTAGGAGGACATCTAGGGCTACTTGACAAGTTTCCCATAAGCAGCACGTGGGTGGGAAGCAAGCCCCAGGCCAGCGGGCTGGGGGGTGGAGTAGAGTCTAGTGGGGCAAGGGTCTGACAGAGAGCCCAAAACACAGTGGGTGTTCAACAACTGTGAATGAATACACACACGAATGGTGTGCCAGGAAGTTCCCCTTGGCAAGCTAACCTGCCTCACGTCTGAATGGAATGAAACTTGACAGAGCCTGAAATTCTTATATCTAAAAGCCCATACAAATGGCTACTATGATATTGTAACTCTCTGGCACAAGGAATATCTGAGATTTAGAGGAGTAATTTGGGTCAGTTTTGCTTTTAGAATGTCAAAGTGGGAAGAAGTCAAACCAAACCCTCCCTGAGGGAAAATCTACTGGTCTAGAAGAGTCTATGGCAGTCCCTTCTGTGATGGGGGCAAGGAGAAGTCTCACCCCAAAGGAGCCAGGGACTATGGGGCTGAAATTAGCAACTGACTAGAGCCGTGGAGCTTCATAGACAACAGGAATAATCCCTTAAATCCTGGCCTCTCCCCTTGGCCTGTGCCTCCTATTTGGTGCTTTAATCTCTGCCCAAACACAGAACACCTTCTCTATCCTTGGTACCTCAGTGTGAATGGGGTGCTGAGAGAAGCCACCTTTGGATATGTGGGGTGGTTGGTGCCTACCAGGTTGTGGTGGATTCAAGATCATCAAAAGGTGGCATCTATGCGCCCTTCCCTTGAATCTGGGTGGGCTCTGCACCACCCACCCATTGGCTCTGCCACCAATACAATGTGGCAGAAGTGCCACTGTGCTGATTTTCGGGCCTAGGCCTTACCAGAGTGGTAGCTTTCATTTCCTGCCTTTGAAATATTCTGTCTTGGAGACCCTAGCTGCCATATACCAGTATTAGCTATGCTGAGTTACTGAACCTGAGCTAGCCTCATGGAGACACTACCTGCAGAGAGAGATGCCTCCCAGCCTTAGTCTCCTCCAGTCAGCCCAGAACAGGCACCAGACACATAAGTGAAAAGAGTTCACTGGCTTCAGCTCCAGCTACCATCTACCCCAACACATGAAAACTGCTCAGCTGAGTCCAGTTAATCCATATAACCAAGGAAGTGATTGTCTTAAGTCATTCAGTTTTGGGGTGGCTTGTTATGCAGCAAGCAGTGAGTAGAACTCAGTACCAGATTTCATCTCAGAGTACCCCATAAAAGAAGATGCACCCCCAAGAAAGTACTAGCTGGTGAAAGGGATCTAGGGAAACTAGAAAAAGCTGAAGTTGTGATGAAACTACAAACCAAAAAGCAAGTGAGATGGGAAATAGTTTAGAGATCACATAAAACAGGAACTTTAATGTTTACAATGTTCTTGATATTTAATTTTCTAAACATGTTTCAATTAAAATAGAAGCACCCTTTAACAATATAATGATAATAATAATTTTTTATTAGAGATAGGATCTAGCTTTGTTGTGCAGACTGGAGTGCAGTGGCACAATCATAGCTCACTGTAACCTCGAATTCCTGGGCTCAGGTGATCCTTTTTCCTTGGCCTCCCGGGTAGTTGGGATTATAGGCATGCACCAACATGCCCAGCCTTATATATATATATGTCAACATCTTCCCACTTCCATATCTGATACATCAGCAAGTTCTGTTGGCTCAGCTTCTGAACTAGGTCCTAAATCCACCTCCTGGCATCCCCTAATACAAGCAGCCATCGTCTCTCACCCATCTCCGCTTCGGGTTCCTCATGTTTGTTAAATGGCATAGTGATGCCATTTTTATATATATATAAATTTATATATATATAAATATATATATATATATTTCATTTTGTATTGCAGCACAGTCTTGCTATATTGCCCAAGCTAGTCTCAAACTCCTGACCTCAAGTAATCCTCCCACCTTGGCCTCCCAAAGCACTGGGATTATAGGTCTGAGCTGCTGCACCCAGCCATGATTATTTTTCACTGTCTTTGATCTGATTTTTTGGCTGCACTTAACCACCTTCTGGTAGTGAATTGTTAAGTGGGGGTGCGGTGGTGAGAGGAAAGCAAGAGGAAAGGAGATGGGGACCAGACAGACACCAGGAAAGTATAATAACAGTCAATGCCTGGTGAGCACTTCTTATGCTCCACATACCAGTCTGAGTTCTATGTTCTCTATGGGTAGAAACTCAATGAATCCACTGAGCAACCCAATGAGGCAGGTATCATGTCCTGTTTTACAGTAAAGGCCCAAAAAAGGTGAGAAAATTGTCAAGATGACACAGTTAGTAAAGGACAAGATGGTGAGCCTAATCGAGATGTTGGGCTTTTGCAGCTGGAGTTGATCAAGACCTACTGGGGTTCTTGAGCAAGGTCAGCTAGCATCCTTCTGCTGTGACACTTACCTGGGCAGGAGCAATTGGCCCCATTTTCTCAGGGTCTCTGGCTGCAGAGCGGCCTCCACCTGCTTCATTTTTCCCGGGTCAGGGAGGACCAGAAGCGCCAGGGCATTTCCTCTGTATTCTATCTGGAGGACGGTGCAAGCCAACTCCTGGTCATAGAGGAATCTGTGCATTTCCTTTTGGTGCATCATGGGGACCTGGAGAGAGGTCCTGTCGTCCACAAAGAAACTTTCCTGCTTCTGGGTCTGGTAGCGACTGAAAGGGTGCTTCCACTTGGCTTAGGACACAAATCCCATAAGGCCATGAGAACTCTTTTCAAGAGATCACCTCTGGGTTTATACACACACAAAACCACACTTCCTCTTGGCTATGCAAGTATATGGCAAAAAAGTGGAATGGATACAGAGCCAGGAGACCAGAATTTAGGCCTGAGTCAGGCCTCTAGGACAAGTCACCAGTGTTTGAGCCCTAACAGCTTATGATTTTATTCCATTTCAGAGGAACTTAGCTTCTAAGAAGCTGAACGGTATTTTTCCATCTACTAAGCACCTTCCATGTGCTAGACATTATCTCTTTAAATTATCATAAAAATTAATAAGAAATAAGTATTATTATTCCTATATAAGGGATGATCAAACTGAGTCTTTGTGAATGTATTTAAACATACTGATTTGCAGAGCTGGGAGGACTGACTGTGCAGCTCAGGTTGCTTTTGCACACACTGAATTAATTCCTCTCAACCAAACTGCCTCTGGACAACAACCTTCTACAGAGATGCTCTAGAACTCCTTCCTTCACCCACCCACCCCAGCTCCCTAATCTTCAAACTGAAAAAGGAAAAAGAATTTAATTAATAAAACGTCTTACATTAGGCAAAAGCCCATTAAGATGTAGTTAGAAATGCAGAATTTTGGGGTCATGGTTACATTCACATGTGTAGTATCTTCTCTCTTACTTCTTATAAATCTGTCCCCACAAACACCCCTTGCAAGCACTGGTCTTGATAACAAGAGAACTGGATCATCCTGTCCTACATACCCACACCCAATCAATGACCAAGTATTGCTGATTCAGCCTCCAAAACCGCAACATTATTCAAGCCCACCATTCTACTTACTTTGGACCACTTTGAAAACCTCCCAACTTGTCTCTCCTTTCTCACCCTTTCTCCCTTCCAAACCACCTTCCAAATTGTAGCCAGTCTGATCTTCCTAAAAATGTGTAATCTTATCACTTCACACTTAAAACTCTTTGGCAATTCTAAGGTTCCCTGAATAAAGTTGGGAACCCTCAACGTGGCTCTGTTTCCCTCTACATTGCAACTCTTGGCTCCTTGCTATTATTCTGCTATTGTGTTTGATGTTCTATCCCAATTAAATTTGTTTCAGTGCTTTGAAAATGCAACGATATCTCTTTTCCCTAGACCTTTAGATATGCTGGGTTTTTGCAACCTGAACCCTCTTTGCCCCACCTCTCCCAAGCTTCTTCACCTGAATGGATAAAACTCACTGTCATGTCTTAGCTTGGGTGGCTGTTTTTCCAGGAAGCTTCTCAAGTCTGGATGGGTGTCTCTTTTGGGAACTCTGTGGGACCCAATGCCTACGCAAGGAGAACATCACCATCCCACTGAGTTATTTTGCTTGCGTCTGTACTTATTTCCAACCCACATGGACTGTGGCCACGCAAGGGTGGGAAAGCTCTATCTTATTCATAGATTTCCCCAAGTGGTTAGCAAAGAACCTGTTATCTGGCTCTCTGCTGTAAGAGCATTTACTTGCAGAGGCAGTGGCAATAATTCTGTCTGAGCAAGCCTCACCTTTGAAGAAGATGTAATTGGCAAGAACCATGAGCGTGTCCTGGCTGAACTCTGGGAGGCAGTCCACGACTTGCCCGTATGTTTGCCTTCTCACATAGTCATTAATCTGCCTCCTAGTTGTAACAGAATCTGTGAAGTTGGCAGAAAAGGCAAAAGCTCCATAAAGCTCCTTGATGCTGTCCAAATAGTGCTGCCGAGGCTTTAGTCGCTTGTCTAGGAACAGGGAGTTTCCTACTTTTAGTTCGAGTTTGGGGCTGGGCAGGGCAAGGGTGTGGAGGAGGCTCCGGAAGCCCTGGTGGATGTTGGCTTCTGGGGTTTCTGTGAGGTTGAATCCTAGGCCCTCCAGGATCAGAGCTGAGGTGTCAGCTTGGGCCCCAAGGGAGAGCAGGGCCAGTGTGGTAGAGATGCTCACCGGCGAGAAGAAGATGTTTCCAGGGTCGTCTGCTGCCAGCTCTTTGTACAAACGCAAAGCAAACTTGGTAATGGTGGGTGTGATTCTGCGGTAGGCGGGGGCTGGCTCTGAGAGCTGATGCCCAGGGGGTTGAGGCCCCTGCAGACTTTTATCTCCATGGGCAAGAAGGGATTGACAGTGGACAGAGGCCAGGATCCCTGTTCCCAGTAGCCAAAGCCAAGCTGGCCCCATTCTCTGAAAACAAGAGGGTGAACATGTCACTTTTCTCCATAAATAATGTCACAATTCTCTATTGCTCATATCACAAATCCCATCTTCACAATGTGCCCACAGGGCTGCCATGAGGGGCACTAAAGAAGATAAGGCGGTGGACAATTAGGATTCTGGACACTTTCTTCTAAGGCTTCAGTGAAGGTAGCAACCCTTTATCTGCTTTACATACAGGTTTCTAAGATTTTGTTGAGTAAAAGTCTCTGGGCTATAAAACAACAATAACAACAACAACGGCAACTCCTGGCCAGGCATGGTGGCTCACACTTGTAATCTCAGCAGTTTGGGAGGCTGAGGTGGGAGGATCGCTTGAGCCCAGGAGTTTGAGACCAGGCAGGGCAACATATGGAGACCCCTATCTCCAAAAGTTTTTAAAAATTAGCTGGGTGTGGTGGAATGTGCCTGCAGTCCCAGTTGCTCTGGAAGTTGAGGTGTGAGAATCACTTGGGCCCAGAGGGTGGAGGCTGCAGTGAGTCGTGATTGCACCACTGCGCTCCAGCCTGGACAACAGAGTGAGAATCTGTTTTAAAAACAACCACCACCACCACAGCAAAACAACTTTCATAGTCTAGCCTTCCTCCCTCTTTTCCTTCCTTCCTTCCTTCCTTCCTTCCTTCCTTCCTTCCTTCCTTCCTTCCATTCTTCCTTCTGTCCTTCCCTTCCTTCCCTCCCTCCCTCCCTCCCTCCCTTCCTTCCTTCCTTCCTTCCTTCCTTCCTTCCTTCTTTCTTTTTTCTTTCTTCTTTCCAGTCATTCTTTCAATCATTCATTAACTTTCAAGCATCTGCCTGGTCCAAGAAGTGCACTAGGTCCTCATTATTTAGTGGGGGAAAGAAGTAAACAAAATTTCAGATTTCCTAGAGTTTAGGGTTTAATTGACACTAGCTTAGGTGACACTCAATAGCTAAATAAGCAAATATATATGTGATGACAAATTGAGAAGAACATGCTTGGAGCAAACGTCCTGGCCACGCTGCCAGTGATGTTAGGCCTCCCTCACATCCAGCATGGCTATTGACTATGATCCTGCCCATTGGAAAGGAAAGGATGATGTGCAAAGCCTCGGTCAGACCTCAAGAGAAAGAAGAGTGCCCTCCCCCTTTCCAGTCATTCATTAGCTGGAGTGGGGATGTGAGGATCAACCATCTGGACGTGTGGATGAGGACAGCCCAGGAGTGGGTAGCAAAGTAGCAGGATTGATGGAGCCTAGAGGAGTGACGAGAGACAGGAACTCTGTCTCCATGTCTCTGTCCAGTCTCTAATATCTGGGATGCCTCTTGTCACATGCAGAGGCTGAAACCTCTATTTTTTTTATTGCTGCAGGGCTCTGGGGATGATATCTGTTATGGGCTGAATTTTTTCTGCCCAAAATTCATATGCTGAAGTCTAGACACCTAGTATCTCCAGATATGATCTTGTTTGGAAATAGGGTCATTGGAGATGTAACTGGTTAAGATGAGGTCATTCGAGCAGGCTCCTAATCCAATAAGACTGATGTCCTACAAGAAGGAGAAATTTGGACACAGACAGCACACAGGGAGAATGCCGTGTGAAGATGAAGGCAGAGATCAGGGTGGTGCTTCTACAAGCCAAGGAACGTGAAAGATGGCCAGCAAACTGGGAGAGAGGCAAAGCTAGGAAAGGGGCCTGGAGCAGATTCTCCCTCACAGCCTCAGAAGGTACCAACCCTGCCACCTCCCTGATCTTGGACCTCCAGAACTGTGAGCCAAAAATGTCTGTTGTTTAAGCTGCCCGGCATGTAGTATTTATTAAGATAGCCGTTGCAAACTAATGTGATATCTCTTGTGCTTTAAGTTATAAAATGTGCCAGAAGAGCCTTTAGTCCAATTCCAGGGGATCAAAGTGGTACAGGAGCAGGAAGACCCCTTGTTTTAGGGCGGGGAATGCAGCCAGAGCTGGAGGGGAAACTGCAGTACAAACAGTGTTGTCTCTGCTCACCCTGCCCAGTGTTCCATGCTCTCCTTTCCCTTTCAGTCCCATCCCCCCACCCACCCTACACACATCCTCAGGTTCTTGCAGAAGACTCATGACCACATTGCTACTGGGACGCTCCCAAACCTTGATGTCCTCAGTAAGGAAGGCAGCCTTCTCTTCTCCCTTCCAATCCAACTCTTCCACTTCTCCATTCATTGCACAGCAGCTGTGCACTGCTGACCACCTCTATCACTCCTCATTAGTTTGTCCTGATAACATTTGTGTCTTAACTGGCACTTTAATATTTTTTTTTTTGCCCAAACCAATGACTTCTGGATCAACTGCAAATGCTGTGACAGTGCAAGAGAGGTTATATTTTTGCAAATGGTTTGTAGCCCCTGGTGCCCTGAATAGTCTGCCAAACCACAAAGGCCAGCTGTCAGGAGGGACAAATGTTGTCTCATTATCTGCTCTGTTGAAATGCATTTGCTGGTCAAAGTCCTGTGGGCACGTCCCCAAGGCTATGCCCTCCCTTTCTGCAGCACAGTGTGGGTTCACTTAATGGCAGCTTCCATACACTTCAGATTTTCTTTTGATTGAAAATTTGGAAGATGCAAATCAATTTAAAAATTGTTCTACCCCTGGGTAAAATAAAGCGACTGTGATGAAACTATTTCTGGCTTATTCTTTTTATCCCGTTGAACTCAGCACCATTTTCTACCCCACTGCACCCCAAGGACCCCCTGACTTGCAAAGGACCTATTTCCCAAAGGGGATTGAATTGTAAATGAAGGGGCCTTGGAATCAAGGCTGTGCAGTAAGTCACTGCCTGATACTGTGCAAAAGCAGCTCTCTGAAACTCAGTGTCTCCCTTTGCAAAATGCAAATGATATTGCCACCTCCTGGGTGTGGGGCCGTTTCGAGATTATATGACAGTCAATGTACAAAGCTCTAGGCATGCCGAAAGTACTCAATAGCAGTTTTTTTCCCTTTCTATCAAGCCTGGGGGTAATGAGGCCCAGTTCATTTCTTAATTCCTCTTCCAGAAAGATAACAGAGGAAAATTAAGAACTATATTCAAAAAGTATAGTATTCTCACTTATTAAGGGTTTATGAAGTGATAGAATATTACATACATTGTAACACTGGCTCCTGACAAGGGCATGGGGAGGGGTGTGTGTAAAGGAGGTAGGGGTGACATTTTGGATCAGCTTAATGCCTGGTGGAGGAGTGCTGCTGGAGTTTAGTTGGGGAACAGCCGGGCTTCCGAAAGCTCTTGAAACACTCAGAAGAGTCACATTCAATGAAGAGTGGTCCTGCCCAGGTACTGGTAGTGCCCTTGTTGAGAAACACTTGCTTTGTCTTATTTAATTTAATCCTTATGAGAACCTCAAAGCACAGGGATTACAGCCCTACTGTACACAGGGGGCTACAGATGCAGTGTTAGGACAAGCCGCCTGGTGAGAGCAGGAGCAAGGCGCAGACTCCAGACCAGAGCTCCTAAGCACCCTTTTCAGAGGATGGCTTCTAGTAAATTTGCTACAGCATCATTGTCATCGTGCTTTGGGTTGTATTGTTTCATTTGCTTGCCTAACTGCCAGGAATATTCGGGGTTCTTCTCTCAAAATTCTTGAAGGCCAAGTGTTTCATAAAAGGCGATTGAAAACCTGAAGTCCCTCCTTTAAGACTCAGAGGGAGTACATGGTTGCATTTCTTCTTCAGGGAGTTACTTCTCCTATCCTTACCACCAAAACCAGGAACACACACACACACACACACACACACAGAGAGAGAGAGAGAGAGAGAAAGAGAGAAAGGGAGTGAGGCAGTTGCTGCCCCTGCCCTCATTTTGGGCACAGGCAAAGTACTCACAGAGCGAAGGCACTGAGTGGGGGCCCGGGTCTTCAGCAGTGCATCACCTCTACCCACAGGAAAATGGTGTTTGAAGATCGCAGCAACCTGGTCAATATTTGTCAGGTCAGTTCTGGGAACTGGTATGAAGATAATGCACAGCAAACAGGAAGGGTTCTTTTTTACCCAAAATATCTGCCCTGACTGCCTGTCCCACAAACAAATGGTGGATTGTGACTTAAGCTCAGGCTCAATTTGAGAATATTCTGATGCCGGCAGCAGGCGGTGGTGTGGTTGCGGCTGGTGCCTGTGTCCGTGGTTGTGTGATCCAGGCTCTATTCTTTTTTTCCTAACTTTTTTATTTCCATAGGTTTTGGGGGAACAGGTGGTATTTGGTTACGTGAGTAAGTTCTTTAGTGGTGATTTGTGAGATTTTGACGCACCCATCACCCAAGCAATACACACTGAACCCAATATGTAGTCTTTTATCCCTTACCCCCTTCCCACCCTTTCTCCTGAGTCCCTGAAGTCCATTGTACCATTCTTATGTCTTCCGATCCTCATAGCTTAGCTCCACTTACGAGTGAGAACATACGATGTTTGGTTTTCCATTCCTGAGTTACTCCACTTAGAATAATAGTCTCAAGTTCCACCCAGGTTGCTGTGAATGCAATTAATTCATTCCTTTTTATGGCTGAGTAGTATTCCATCGTATATATACACATCACAGTTTTTTTATCCACTCGTTGATTGATGGGTATTTGGGTTGGTTCTACAATTTTGCAATTGCAAATTGTGCTGCTATAAACGTGTGTGCAAGTATCTTTTTCATAAAATGACTTCTTTTCCTCTGGGTAGATACCCAGTACTGCGATCGCTGGATGAAATAGTAGTTCTACTTTTAGTTATTTAAGGAATCTCCACACTGTTTTCCATAGGGGTTGTTCCAGTTTACATTCCCACCAGCAGTGCAGAAATGTTCCCTTTTCACCACATCCGCGCCAACGTCTATTATTTTTTGATTATGGCCATTCTTGCAGGAGTAAGGTGATATCACGTGGTGGTTTTGATTTGCATTTCCCTGATCATTAGCGATGTTGAACGCTTTTTCATATGTTTGTTGGCCATTTGTATATCTTCTTTTGAGAATTGTCTATTCATATCCTTAGCCCACTTTTTGATGGGATTGTTTGTTTTTTCTTGCTAATTTGTTATAATTCTTTGTAGATTCTGGATATTAGTCCTTTGTTAGATGTATAGATTGTGAAGATTTTCTCTCACTATGTGAGTTATCTGATTACTCTGCTGACTGTTCCCTTTCCTGTGCCAAAGCTCTTTAGTTTAATTAAGTCCCACCTGTTTACCTTTGTTTTTATTCCATTTGCTTTTGGGTTCTTGGTCATGAAATCCTTGTTTAAGCCAATGTCTAGATGGGGTTTTCCAATGTTATCTTCTAGAATTTTTATAGTTTCAGGTCTTAGATTTAAGTCCACGATCCATCTTGAGTTGGTTTTTGTATAAGGTGAGAGATGAGAATCCAGTTTCATTCTCCTACATGTGACTTGTCTATTATCTCTGCACCGTTTGTTGAATGGGGTGTCTTTTCCTCACTTTATGTTTTTGTTTGCTTTGTCTACAATCACTTGGCTGTAAATATATGGGTTTATTTCTGGGTTCTCTCTTCTGTTCCATTGGTCTATGTGTCTATTTTTATACCAGTACCATGCTGTTTTGGTGACTATGGCCTTACAGTATAGTGTGAAGTTAGGTAATGTGAAGCCTCATTTTAGTCTAGCTTTGGCTATGCAGGTTCTTTTTTGAATCCATATGAATTTTAGTATTTTTTTTCCAGTTCTGTGAATGATGGTGGGATTTTGATGGGAATTGGTTCTGAATTTGTAGATTGCTTTTTGTGATATGGTCATTTTCACAATATTGATTCTGCCCATCTATGAGCATGGGATGTGTTTCTATTTATTTGTGTCATCTATGAGTTTTCAGCAGTATTTTGTCATTTTCTTTGTAGAGATCTTTAACCTCCTTGGTTAGGTATATTCCTAAGTAATTTATTTTTTTGCAGCTGTTGTAAAAGAGGTTGAGTTCTTCATTTGATCCCCAGCTTGGTCACTGTTGGTGTATAGCAGAATTATTGATTTGTGTACATTAATTTTGTATCCTGAAACTTTGCTGAATTAATTTATCAGTTCTAGGAGAGTTTTGGAGGAGTCTTTAGGGTTTTCTAGGTATACGATCATATCATCAACAGTGACAGTTTGACTTCCTCTTTACTGATTTGGATACCCTTTATTTTTTTCTCTTGTCTGATGGCTCCTTTGAGGACTTCTAGTACTATATTGAATAGAGGTGGTGAGTGTGGGCGTCCTTGTCTTGTTCCAGTTCTCAGAGGGAATGCTTTCAACTTTTACCCATTCAGTATTATGTTAGCTGTGGGTTTGTCATAGGTGGTTTTTATTACATTAAGGTGTGTCCCTTATATGCCGATTTTGCTGAGGGTGTTAATCATAAAGCGATGCTGGATTTTGTCAAATGCTTTTTCTGCATCTATTGAGATGATCATGTGATTTTTGTTTTGAATTCTGTTTATGTGGTGTATTACATTTATTGACAACCATCCCTGCATCCCTGGTGTGAAGCCCACTTGATCATGGTGGATTATTTTTTTAATATGTTGTTGGATTCAGTCAGCTGGCATTTTGTTAAGGATTTTTGCATCTATATTCACCAGGGATATTGGTCTGTAGTTTTGTTGTTGTTGTTGTTGTTATGTCCTTTCCTGGTTTTGGTATTAGGGTGATACTGGCTTAATAGAATGATTTAGTGAGGATTACCTCTTTCTCTATCTTGTTGAATAGTGTCAATAGGATTTTTATCAATTCTTCATTAAATGTCTGGTAGAATTCAGCTGTGAATCCATCTGGTTCTGGACTTTTTTTGTTGGTAATTTTTAAAATTACCATTTCAATCTCACTGCTTGTTATTAGTCTGTTCAGGGTATCTAATCCTTCCTGATTTAAGCTAGGATTGGATCTTTTCAGGAATTTATCCATCTCCTCCAGGTTTTCTAGTTTATGCACATAAAGGTGTTAATAGTAGCCTTGAATGATCTTTTGTATTTCTGTGGTGTCAGTTGTAATATCTTTCATTTCATTTCTAATTGAGCTTATTTGGATTTTCTCTTTTCTTGGTTAATCTTGCTAATGGTCTATTATTTTTATTTATTTTTCTAAGAACCAGCTTTTTTGTTTCATTTATCTTTTGTATGTTGTTGTTGTTTCAATTTCAGTCAGTTCTGCTCCGATCTTGGTTATTTCCTTTTTGCTGCTGGGTTTTGGCTTGGTTTGTGACCTTAGATTATTTATGCTCTTTCAGACTTTTTGATGTAGGCATTTAGGGCTGTGAACTTTTATCTTAGCACTGCCTTTGCTGTATCCCAGAGGTTTTGATAGGGTGTGTTAGTGTTATAGTTCAGTTCAAAGAACATTTAAATTTCCGTCTTGATTTCATTGTTGATCCAGTGATCCTTCAGGAGCAGGTCATTTCATTTTCATGTATTTGCATGATTTTGAAGGTTCCTTTTAGAGTTGATTTCCAGTTTTACTCCACTGCCATTTGAGAGAGTACTTGATATAATTTCAATTTCCTTAAATGTATTGAGACTTGTTTTGTGGCCTATCATATAGTTTTTCTTGGAGAATATTCCATGTGCTGATGAATAGAATGTATATTCTGTGGTTATGGGGTAGAATGTTCTGTAAATATCCGTTAAGTCCATTTGTTCCAGGATATATTTTAAATCCATTGTTTCTTGGTTGACTTTCTGTCTTGATGACCTGTGTAGTGCTGTCAGTGGAATATTGAAGTCCCTCACTATTATTGTGTTGCTGTCTACCTCATTTCTGAGATCTAGTAGTAATTGTTTTATAAATTTGGGAGCTCCAGTGTTGGGTGTACATATATTTAGGACTGTAACATTTTCCTGTTGGACAAGGCCTTTTATCATTATTTAATGTCCCTCTTTATCTTTTTTAACTGCTGTTGCTTTAAAGTTTGTTTTGTCTAGTATAAGTATAGCCACTTCTGTTTGCTTTTAGTGTCTATTTGTATAGAATGTCTGTTTCCACCCCTTTACCTTACATTTATGTGAGTCCTTGTGTGTTAGGTGAGTCTCTTGAAGGCAGCAGATACTTGGTTGGTGAATTCTTATCCATTTTGCTATTCCATATCTTTTAAGTGGAGCATTTAGGCCATTTCCATTCACCATTAGTATTGACATGTGAGATAGTATTGCATTCATCGTGCTATTTGTTGCCTGTATACCTTGTTTTTTGTTTTTTGGTTTTTTTTTTGTATGGGTCCTGTGGGATTTATGCTTTAAAGAGTGTCTGTTTTTATGTGTTTCCAGGATTTGTTTCAAGATTTGGAGCTCCTTTTAGCAGTTCATGTAGTGCTGGATTGGTAGTGGTGAATTCTCTCAGCATTTGTTTGTCTGGAAAAGACTGTGTCTTTCCTTCATTTATGAAGCTTAGTTTTGCTAGATACAAAATTCTTGGCTGATAATTGTTTTGTTTAAGGAGGTTGAAGACAGAGCCCCAATCCCTTCTGGTCTGTAGGGTTTCTGCTGAGAAATCTGCTGTTAATCTGATAGGTTTTCCTGTATACGTTACCTGGTGCTTTTGCTTCACAGCTCTTAAGATTTTTTCCTTCATCTTGGCTTTAGATAGCCTGATGGCAATGTGTCTAGGTGATGATGATCTTTTTGTGATGAATTTCCTGGGTGTTCTCTGAGCATCTTGTATTTGGATGTCTAGGTCGCTAGCAAGGCCAGGGAAGTTTTCCACAATTATTCCCCCAAATATGTTTTCCAAACTTTTAGATTTCTCTTCTTCCTCAGGAATGCCAATTATTCTGAGGTTTTGTCACTTAACATAATCTCAAACTTCTTGGAGGCTTTGCTTATTTTTTCTTATTCTTTTTTCTTTGTCTTTGTTGGATTGGGTTCATTTGAAAACTGTCTTTGAGCTCTGAAGTTCTTTCTTCTGCTTCTTTGATTCTATTCCTGAAACTTTCCAGAACATTTTGCTTTTCTCTCAGTGCTCTCCTTTATTTCCTAAATGGTTGATTGTTTTTTATTTATGCTATTCCTTTACTGAAGATTTCTCCCCTCATTTCTTATGTATTTTTTAGATTTCCTTAAATTGGACTTTATCTTTCTCTGGTGGCTCCTTGATTAGCTTAATAGCTGAACTTCTGCATTTTTTTTTCAGGTAAATCAGGGATGTTTTTGTTTGGTTGTGAGCTAGTGTGATTTTTCTAAGGGTGTTAACAGCCTTTTTTGGCATGTTACCAGCATTGTTTTTCTGGTTCCTTCTCATTTGGATAGTCTATGTCAGAGGGAAGATCTAGGGCTCAAGGCTGCTGTTCAGATTCTTTTGTCCCATGGAGTGCTCCCTTGATTTTCCTAGGGATGTGGCTTCCTGAGAGCCAAGCTGTGGTGATTGTTATCAGGATCTAGTCACCCAGCCGGTCTACCAGGCTCTGGGCTGGTACTGGGGATTTTCTGCATAGAGTTCTGTGATGTGAGCCATCTGCAAGTCTCTCAGCCATGGATACCAGCACCTGCTCTGGTGGAGATGGCAGAGGGGTGAAATTGATTCTGTGAGGATCCTTAGTTTTTGTTGTTTAATGCGCTATTTTTGTGCTGGTTGGCCTCCTGCCAGAAGGTGACACTTTTGAGAGAGCATCAGCCTGGAGAACCAGGCTGTGGGTAGACCCTAGAACTCCCAAGAGTATATGCCGTTTGTCTTCAGCTACCAGAGCGGGTAGGGAAGGACCATCAGAGGAGGAGGGCAGGGCTGTGTGTGTCTGAGCTCAAACGCTCCTTGGTAGGGCTTGCTATGGCTGCTGTGGGGAATGGGGTGTGGTTCCCAGGTCAATGGAGTTGTTCCCAGGAGAATTATGACTGCCTCTACTGTGTCATGCAGGCTGTCAGGGAAGTGGGGGAAAGCCGGCAGTTACGGGCCTCACCCAGCTCCCACGCAACCCCAAAGACCAGTCTCACTCCCACCATGTCCCCTCAAACAGCACCAAGTTCATTTACAGGCAATGGGCAGGAAGTGCTGAGAACTTGCCCTGGGCTACCAGCCTCCCACCTGTGAGAACAAGTAAGGCTTTCACACCTCTCGGCCTGTGGAGTCTGCACACCAGATTCACACCCTCCCTTGAGTTCTGGCCAGGAGACTTCCTGTTCAGTTGGAATTGTTACAAAGTTCAGCTGGGGGTTTCCTTCTCCCTGTGGTCTTTTCCCAGTATCTCTGACAGCCCTCCCCAAGAACACCCATGAGACAAGTCTGAAATAGTTTTCCAAGGGTGGAAAACCCACAGGGTTTTACATGCTGCTTCCTCTACCCCTATATTTTGCTTGGCTCTCTAAATTGACTCAGCTTCAGGTAAGGTCAGATCCTTCTCCCGTGATCTAGACCTGCAGGTGCCCCAGTGAGGGTGTGTGTTCAGTGGCAGACAATCCCCCTTTCCCACTTTCACAGCTTGGACACTCACAATATTTGGACTGTCTTTTGGGTCCTGCAGAAGCAACCTGCTTCCTTCAGAGGGTCTGTGGGTTCTCTCGGCTTTCCTGGTTTATTCCCGCATTAGTTCTGGAACAAAGGTTCAAGATACCAGTCTTGAACCTTTGAATTTTTTTTCAAAGGTCCACACAGTGCTCTGTCCAAGTGGGAGATGCAACCTAGTCTTGCCTTCTCTCTGCCATTTTTCCCCCTCTTTTTTTTTTCTTTTAGGCTATGTTCTTTATTGGTCACCCTCTCCGCAAGAATGTGAGAGAGGCACAGTCATCCGTACTTTGTAGATGGGAAACTGAGGCTCTGCGAGGTTAAGTCACTTGCTTACTAAGTGGACAGATGGGGCCACACGCAGAAGTTGGATCCCATCCCCCAGTCCATGCCTTCACCGCCACACCAAACCATTCCAGTATTTTGTTGATACTGCAAATAAAATATAATCTGTATATGAATAAAAAGATTGGAAGGGGCTGGGTGGGTGGCTCATGCCTGTAATCCCAGCACTTTGGGAGGCCAAGGCAGGTGGATCACTGGAGGCCAGGAGTTCGAGACCAGCCTGGATAACATGTTGAAACCCCGTCTCTACTAAAAATACAAAAATTAGTCGGACAGGGTGGCGGGTGCCTGTAATTTCAGCTACTTGGGATGCTGAGGCTGGATAATCCCTTGAACCTGGGAAGCAGAAGAGGTTGCAGTGAGCCGAGATTGTGCCACTGCACTCCAGCTTGGGTGACAGGGAAAAAAAAATTGGAAGGAAATTTCACAAACAGAGAAAAATCTTTCTTCCTGTTACTTGAAGAAACCTGTGAAGCAGAATCATTGGCTCATGATCACCCATGACTCCCAAGTAAGAAGAGCAAGCTTAGTATTAAATGAGTATTTATTTATGAGAGAATCTCTTTATGATAAAATCGAGGTGACTTTTAAGTTCTTCTTTGTAGATTTTCATATTCTCCAAATTTCCTACAGAGAGCATGCATCTTATTCATAATTAAAAACAATAAAACATTATTGTTGAAAAGTAGAATTATTTAATAGTACAAGTAAAGCTCATCCTAAAATAAGTCATTGAGGTTGGCACAGTGACTCCAATCAAGGCACTTCTAAAACATAAAGTCTCCCAGGAGGTTGAACCTGATTCTCTAAATGGGGTGGAGGTGCGGGTGCCCATGGGTCTGCATTTGCCACTCCTACCTTGAGTGAAACTTTCATAAGATGCTGTAATACTCATGCTTGATATTCTGTGACTGATGATTTTGTATCTTGAAATGATGGCCTAAACTAACGGCCACAGTTGATTATGTTCATGCCCTCTCTGTGTTTTCATGGGCATATAAGAATCATTTTACAAATCCTCCAACCACAAGCCCCAACCTCTATACTTCACTTCCTGCCCAATAGGGACGTCCCACCTAACCACTCACCACACTTTACTACTAAAGTCTCTGGCCAAGTGTTCCTCTCGCTCTTGTGCCTCTGGACTAGCCCCAGTGCTTCCCCGTGTGGCTCTGTGTGGTGGGGCAGGACCCCTCCTCTTGGGTGCTCAAGTAATGAACTCTTCTTTCAAAGGCAGGTGTCTCTGTCTGTCACCTTATCATACACAATGGAAATGATTTCAAAACAAAATGTGAGGTACATTTAAAAACAAATGCAAAGGATTGGCATTTCAAAAAACAGAGCTGGGACCTCAACAAGTTGACAGAAAATGCCCCATGGCTGTTCTTATATCTGCTTGCCAATGCAAGTCTGAGTGGGCACCAGGATGCCACCTAAGCTTGCTTTCACTGTAAAGTGCCACCGGAAGCAAGGCTGTCGGAAGGATACTTACAGCTGTCACCCATTGCTGACTACTTGGGGTTCCCTATAGTTTCTAGAAAGAACTAGTTGTGAACAACAGGTGTTGTTAGTCACTTCTTCACACCTACTGTCTCCTTTGTGCCACTGTGAGACATCTTCTTGCCTACGCTGCAGGAGGCTGGAGCCATGTCTGAGCAGGTAAGCTCCTTCCTGGGAAGGATGCCTGGCTTCTCCACTGTGACCTTTACAACGGAGAGCCTGAGGGAAGAGCACTGTGTATAAAATAAAGTTTGCTCCAGGGGCTGTTGTGGGAGCTCTTCATAACTGGCCAATAGTCCTTGTTCTAAGTCAGCACAGGAGGGCCCTATGGCCTAGGTTAGCTGTTTTTACTCTTTAAGTCTCAGCTATTTTGTTTTTGTTTTTTGTTTGCTTGTTTTTGTTGTTTCGAGACAGGGCCTTGCTGTGTTGCCCAGGCTGGAGTGCAGTGGCAGCTTGTTCTGTTTGTGAAATAAAGTGGGAGCGTGAGGAGCGGGGGTTAGGTTCCCCTGGGACTTCTGCCAGCTCTCCAGCGTAACTCCTTTCTGTTTTATTTCTTTCCTTGTAAAACAGCATGAGAAAACCAACATGAGGCCCTTGGCACATCCAAGGTGGGTGGGGCACAGGGGTCCCCAGAAGAGGAGCCTTTGGATCTGGACTGGAGCAAGGGCTCCGTGGAGGCCGCCAGAGATGCCGTTGGTAATGAGGGTGATGCAGAGGTGCCAGCACAGCCTGTCAGGCAATGAGGGAGGGAGGGATGGTGAGTCTGACTCAAAGGACATGAGCTGCCTTTGCTGTGGTGCCACCGTGGCCCGTTGCTCGTTGTGCTGCTCTCAGGACTCTGAGTATGGGAGCAGGACCTTTGCCGCTACAGACCTGCAGGGAAGGGGCTGAGCACCCAAAGGCTGCATATGCATACACGACATCATCAGAGTCAGGGAGACAGCCAGGCTTGAGGAAATGGAAAACTGTTCCACGGCACCCAGGAAGACCTTCACAGCCCATGCATTAGCCCTCGTCACCCCGTGTCCTGGTGCTCCCCACAAACGCAGGCTCTCTCCTTGGCCAACAACGGCCTCCACCAGCTGACCTCCTTGAGCCTCTGTGTCTTCATTTCTTCCATCTGCCCCACATGATGCTACAAGGTCCTTGCTCTGTCCCTCCAACATGCTGCTCATTCCTGACTCACAGCCTCTATGCTCACACCCCTCTCTTGTCCTCCCCTCACTCTCAGTCATCCTAATTCAATGCCTTCATGGCACTTATAAGCAGTTATGACCATGTTTATAGGTTTGGTTTCGTTGTTGCTGTAGGGGGTCTGTCTCCCCCATTTAGGCCTAACATGCCAGGAATCTTCTCTGATTTACTCCTAGCGTATATTAAGTGCGCAGTAAGTTTTTGCTGAATAAATGAAGGAAAAAAAATCATACAGCCTCTGAGATGTCATGGGACGGCAGCCCAGCCACTGCGAGTTCGCCAGTAAATCATTTTCAGATTAGGACCCGGTTGACAGCTGAATTCGTATTTTAGTTTTATTGAATGTGTTATTGTAATTCGCAATAAAGGTGCCTGACCTGCGTTGGCATATTTCCATTCCCAGGAGCCCCAAGGAATGGAAATATGGTAACCCAGCAACATCCCATGAAGCTAGTTACCTGGGAGACTTTGTGGAAAAGGGCACTGACTGGGGTTAACGGGCATTGGCTTGTGACTGGGGTCTCTGTTGATGGTTTGGTGATTGAGCCTTGGAAGTGGCATCCCTGCCAGTGAATGCAGCTCCACTGGGGTCAAGTGCATCCTCAGAACAGAAAGAGGGATGTGGTTTGTTATTTCTTGTGCGTTAGGAAAGTGCCATCAGTCAACAGGCCATTTCCCACCTAGGATTTAGCGGGATTTTCCACTTTCCCTAGAAAGAGAATACTGTCTGTGGCTTTATTTGTAATCATTATCAAGAAGGTCCTATTGAAGGAGACAGTGAAGTAAGAGGGACCATCCTTCGATCGGACTATGAACTTGGTGGCAGTAGCTGCTGCGGCCTCAGTGCCCTCTTCACTGACATCCAGCACAGCCTTGTGGGTTGCCTGCCAAGGGAAAAACAAACGTCAGTGGCCCCAGTAGAGACACTTTTAGTTAACTAAGTAAACTAAACTGAGTGTTTTGCCCTGGAATGGTGACGTCTACCTTGAAAGGATTCAAGGTTCAAATGCCTGGCATTGGGTTTGCTCAGTACATTGCAGTGGGTGTTGACTATGGCCCATTGGTCCTTACACCGGGAGTGAGATGGTTACAAACACAGAACAGGAAGATAGGAGTGAATCTCAGTTCTGCCACTTATGGTTGCAAAATTATTTGGATGCCACGTGCTTCAGTTTCCCGATCTATAAAAGGTAATAATAATTGCATGTGTCCCGTAAGGTTATTGTGTAAATTAAGGGAGATCATACAAAGCAAATGCTCGCGGACTTGCCAGCAGTGGTGATTGCTGAAGTTCTCGCATGGCAGACATGGGTTTGATATGACTAAGGTTAGATCCCTTCTTTGTCTTCTAGGGAAGACATTCTTCACCTGGAGCTCCTGGATTTCTAAGCTTCAGGGAGGCTTGAGCTCCTGTGACTACAGGCATTGTTTTTCATAGGCTCACAGATGCATTTTCCTCGAGAAAAGGTCCATTATGCTCATCATATTCCAGTGGGGCCTCTCAGCATTTTCTGTAGACCAGTGACAAAGGTCCCCTTCAGTGGCCCCAGGATCACTTCTGACTGTTATAAGCCATTATCAAAATAAAATTTTAGGTCAGGGATCAGTAACCCATATGTGTGCAGGGGTTAGGTAGGTAACCCCAATTAACTGAGGGAGACTTCTTGTAAGAGCATGAGGTGCCCACATTTCCTGGAGGGTCCTGTCTGACTAAAAGGGTCACTTACAACTCAACTCCAGTGATGGCTGCCATGTGGACACATAGACTCACTGTTGCCATGTGGGAATTAGGGTCAGTGATTTGTTTCAAGAGGATCAGAAATCTAGACTTTTAGATCCAATACACTACATTTTAAAACTCCTCTCTCTCTGTCTCTCTCTCTCTGTCTCTGTCTCTCTCTCTCTCCTTTCTCTCTCTGTCTCTCTCTCTCTTCTGTCTCTCTCTCTCTTCTGTCTCTCTCTCTCTCTCTCCCCCCCCCTCTGTCTCCTCTCTCTCTCTCTATCTCCTCTCTCTCTCCTCTGTCTCTCTCTCTCTCTGTCTCTCTCTGTCTCCTTACACACTGAAGGCCAGACAACACACCTGCAGGGTGTAAATGGCCTATGGGCAGCCATATTGTGATGCCTGTGTGAGGGCCTAAACTCCAGGGAGGAAGAAGGTGAGGTCAGATCCCAGGGGAGCACCTGCTCGCCTGCAGCAGGCATAGGGGAGCAGCTGCCTGCTGGGTACGCCTTCGGAACATTTGAGTGAAGAGGGATAACACATGCTGTGTGCCGGAGGGATGGTGGCCGTAGGCCGCAAGATTCGGTTCTTCTGGCCTCAGAAGAACCTCATTTCACCTTTCAGGCCTCTGTTTCCTTATCAATGACATAAGAGCACTTGATTAATTCTGCAGGTGCTTCCTGCTTGGACTTTTTTGCAAATATTCTCATTCAACTCACTTTAGAAAGCTCCAGGGAGTCTTTCTTTGTAATTCCAGAAAAATCAGCATTTTCGTCAAAGACATTTTGGATGCCCATCTTTGGGAGGATGGTTTCCAGATTGTAGGAGGCAGAAATGGAAAATTTGGGGATGAACACCTCTATCCACCTGTGCAGTAGGGAAAAGGAAACAATGAGGTCACAAGCCCATGATGTCTGCATCTCTGCTCCTAGATGCCATTTTGGGAGACTCCGTTCTTCCTCCAGCCATTGCTACTTGCTGCTAAAAAAGTCAACACATCCTAGCCAAGAACCCCAGGTTGCTCTTGAAGTAAATCTCCCAACTGAGCAGGTCCAGCACTAAAAACATGCAAGGAGACAGACAGGCCCCCAGTGAAGTGGGTGCAGAGGTGAGAAGGTGGTCGGCAAGGGAGTCTATGGCAGAAACCAACAGGAGACGTCAAGTAGCAATGGAAGCTCATCAACCACTCACTCACTGTCCACAGTACCTCCTCACAAGCACTTCCTGATGCAGGCCCTGCTAATGCCCTAGAGCAGCAAAGTCCAGCAGAACTGCCTGTGATACGGGAAGATCCTTGACCTGCACTCTCCAGTATGGTAGCCACTAGCCATGTGTGGCTATTGAGCAACTTGAACAGTGGCTTGTGCAAATGAGAAACTAAAATTTTAATTTTACTGAATTTCAGATAATTTAAGTGTAAATAACTGCAGGTGGCTTAGTGGCTACTATATTGAACAGCACCACCTGATAATTTAGCACAATATTTTTTTCCCTCTGAACCAAGAGAAAACAGCCTGCACGTACTGAACATTTTTTTTAGATGGAGTCTCGCTCTGTCGCTCAGGCTGGAGTGCAACGGCATGGTCTTGGTTCACTACAACCTCCGCCTCCCGGGTTCAAGCTTTTCTCCTGCCTCAGCCTCCCAAGTAGCTGGGATTACAAGTACACATGGCCACGTCTGGCTAATTTTTTTGTATTTTAGTTGAGACAGGGTTTCACCGTGTTGCCCAGGCTGGTCTTGAACTCCTGAGCTCAGGCAATTCACCTGCCTCAGACTCCGAAAGTGCTAGGATTATGGCGTGAGTCCAGCCTGAACGTTTATTATATGCCAGACATTGTCCCAGGCACATTCAACAACACTGTCCCCATTTTAAAGATGGTAAAGCTTAGTTTTAGTGCTTTGCCCAAGGTTATGTACTTAGTGACTCACAGCAAGGAAAGCACAAAAATATTGGGTGGACACATTTCAGTCCTCATCTGACAGGTGTCTTGTGACCCCTCATGCCAGGGACACCTCTCTCTTCCCTGCCACTATCCCCTTTCCCTGTTTTCTCTGTGCTCCATCTGCTGCTCTGTGCTGCATGCCTGGCTCCCTGAGCTTCTGTGCCATCTCCTCATCTTATTCCCAGTCCCAGATGCAGCCTGAGAAGAGAAGAAGTCGCTGACACACCCTGCAGCATCTCTTCATCCTTGACTTTGAGTTCTTGCCAGTGCGTCGTCTACCAAAGCTGGCCTTCCCAAGCCTCTGTGTGCTCATATGCTACCCGTATGTGCAGCTAAACCCCACCGCCTCCTTGAAGCTGTCCCTCAGTCCCAGCTGAAAGTGACCTCTCTCTGCTCAGAAGCTCCTCAGCACCTTTCCTGCCCTCCCCTGGGGCATTGCCCAATCTCTTTCTTGAATTCCAGTTACACTGCAGCCTTCCTTCTCTCTTCCCAGACTATGAGCACCAGGGAATGCTGCTGAAATTATTCTACGATGCCAACCATATATTGCTAAGAGACAGAACATAAAACTTTGACATTCCTTTTTTATCTCATGATTAATCTTTTTCATATTCTCCATATTTTTATACTCACCATAATAATTATAGGACTAATAATAACATTATTAGCTAACATTTACTGAACACTTACTATCTTCTAGGAATTCTCCTAAGCACTTTATAAATAGTAGGTTACTTTATCTTTTCGCCAACCTTTGGATTTGGTAATATTGTTATCCTCTTTCTTATATGTGACCACCAATGGTTTTGTTTGCTTGCTTTTATGGGATCGTTCCATGGATTTCAATATCAGATTGGCTTCTAGAGCCAGCTCTGCTAGCATGTAACAGCTACATGACCTTGGACAATTCACTTACCACCTTGGAGCCTCCATTTCCTCATCTGTGAAATGAGTGGTATTAAGACTCCTCATCAGGTGATAGTGAACTTCAAGTGTGAACATGTATAGACAGCCCCAGGCTCTCTGTCCTGCATACAGTTGGTGCTCGTTGTTCAGAAGTGATTATCCAACAGCTGTTAGCACAATCTCTCCCCCATCTTTGAATGTGTGCGTCCCCTGCCTCAGGGCCCAGGAGATTGACACAGATACCCACCTTTTCTGGAGTGAGTGGCTCCACTTTCTCAGTGTTCTGGCTGACAAGGCCTGTTCCAGTTGCCTCATCTTGCCCTTGCTAGGGAGGACAAAGAAGGCCACGGCATCTCCCTTGTAGTCCATCTGGAGCACAAAGCAGTTCAGCTCTGTATCCATCCCAAAAGCAAACTGCTCCTTCTGGTGCATCATGGGGACACGCACAGTGACCTGCTTGCTCACCAGAAATGGGAAGTTCTTTCTTGTATATGCGGGGTAAAAGGGCTTGTCCCACTTGGCTAGCACAAAGAGAGAAATGAGGTCTTTATGTCAAAGTGCAATTAGTGAGGCAAAGACAGCAAAATGAAATAGGGAATTACTGCTAATGGGTATGAGGTTTCTTTCTGAGGTGACAAAAAAATGCTCTGGAATTACACAGCGGAGTAGTTGCCCAAACTTGTGAATATACTGAAAATCAATAAAATGGTGAATTGTATTTCAATTAAAAATAGAATTAAGTTAAATAGAACAACATAAAGTGAAGGTAACTTAGTAAGGGCTCAAAGCATACCAGTTTTCTTTCCTTCTCTTTCCTCTTTGCAGGATGGATGGATAAATGGGTGGATAGCTTGGCAGATGAAGGGTGGATGGATAGATGAATAGCTAATGGATAGATGGTTGGATGGCTGGGTGGATAGATGGATGAATGGATGGTTGGATGAACTGATGCATGGATAGATAGATGAACAGATTAACGGATGGGTGGTTGGCTAGCTAGATGGCTAGCTAGGTGGATGAATGGATGCATGGATGGATAAATGGATGGATGGATGAACTGATGGATGGATAAATGGGCGGATAGTTTGCTGGATGGGTAGATGGAGGGTGGAGGGATGAACAGGTTAATGGATACATGTTTGGCTGTCTGGGTGGATAGATGGATGCATGCATGGATTCATGGATGAATGACATATGGATAAATGGGTGGATAGTTTGGTGAATGGGTGGATATAGGGTGGGTAGATAGATGGATAGATTAATGGACAGGTGGTTGGCTAGCTAGGTGGATGGATGGATGAACTGATGGATGGACAAGTGGATGGATAGCTTTGTGAATGGGTAGATGGATAGATGAGTACGTTAATGGATAGATGTCTGGCTGGTTGGCTAGGTGCATGCTTGGATGGATGGACAGATAAACCAGTCCATGGATAAATGAGTGAACAGGTGGATGAAGGGAGGGAGGAAGGAAGGGGAGGAGAGGGACGGAGGAAGGGAGGGATGATATGGTGACATCCTTGAGAACTCTGCCTGGAGATGCCAGGCACTTCTATCTCAAGTACAACCCTATAAAGTTGGCTTTATCATCAAACTATCCAGTCAGCACAGAGACTGGCACAAGTCAGGCACTCAACACATGGTAAATCTTTTAGAGATACATGCTGAGGATCATAGAGCAAGTATGGGGCAGAGGTGAAATTCAAATCCAAGTTGTTTGATTTAAAAGCTGATGTGCATTCCCTACAACACAGTGAAAACTGTAAATCTCTAACATATATATACATATAAAATATGTATATGCAGTTATATATGAAGGAAACTTCATATATATATATGAGATATGAATGACAGTCACATCAACTTGTCTACATTTCTACACCTATGAAAGTGTTCACACTCTTGGATTTGCTTCTTAAACTGGGTTGTCAGAGAGTTCCATGTTCCTTCTTTAAAACTTTCAAGGGGCAGTAAACACACTTCGAGACACTTTATCTCTCTACCCAAAGAGAACTAAATGAGTCCCCCACTGTAACTGATAAACATGAGCTATCCCAGGTCCTGCAATCAGCTAACTGCAAAGCTAATTAGAGCTCAGGCCCTCCCATTTCTCCACCCTGCAGTCTAGGTTTTGTCTGCCTTGTGTATTTCACTAAGCAAAAATCATCAGCATCATCATAAAATAAATAAATAAAAATCAACTTCTCAAATCCTTACCTTTAAAGAAAATGTGATTCACCAGCACCATGGCTGTCAGAAGGTCAAGGTCTTGGATTATGTCTACAACCTTCCCTTGGGTCTTCTTTTTCACGTGGCAGTTGATCTTCGCCTGGGCAATGGAGGGGTTGGAGAAATCTGTAGAAAAGACTTCTGCTTCATACAGCCTCTTGACATTGCCCAAGAAATTTTCCTGCAGCTGCAGCTCCTTCTTGACGAAGAGGGCACTTCCCATCTTCAAGGCCAGGTCTTTGCTTGGAACAGTCAGTGAATGAACCAAGTGCTGGAAGCCCCGGTGGATGGCAGACTCTGGTGTGTGTGTGAGGTTGAAGCCCAGGCCCTCGAGAATCTGGGTCTTGGTGACTGAGTGGGCCCCAAGGGAGAGCATGGCCAGGGAAGTGGAGACACTCATGGGGGAGAAGAAGACGTTCTGACTCGGGGTCTCCAAAACCAGCCTGCGGTACAGGCGGAAGGCAAAGTCGGTGTTGAGGGAATACACCAGTGAGGCAGGGGTGCTCTTTGTGGAGGATGGGTGGGGGTATCCGCTGGGGGCATTGACCGGGGACACACAGTAGATTGGAGCACAGAGGCCAACAGCAAAGAGTACTCCATAAAGAGAAGAGGCCATTTTGGAACCAAATACGTCTGCAAGAGAAGTAAGAACCATTGAGGGGGTAAACTGAGGGTCCAGGCCCTGAATCAGAGACACTTCAACACCCCACGCCATCAGCAGCAGAATGAAGACAAATAGGCCGGCTAGCAGAGCTCTCTCACGTTATCTCCTTTGAGCCTCGCAACAGTCCCATGATGTAGGTATTATCATTACTGTTTTACTTGCAAATGAGTAAACAGGCCACAGAGAGTCTGCGTAACTTACCCCAAACCACACGGTTGACTTGTCTGTGTTCTGTGTGGGCTTCAAAGTCAGGTCCCAAATTCCAAATCACATGCTTTTTTCTGCTTCATGGACTTATGTTTTAAGAATTGAGAGTGTGAGACCAGATTGCAAAGTCCCCCTCTTAGCAGCCAGCCAGAAGTGGTTTCTCACCCTTTGGAGGTCCCTCCACACATTCTTTATCCATTTTATGTAGATCTGATTATTTTCTCACCCTGGCTGCCTGTTCCCAGAAACCGACATTTACTAATGTGTTCATATCTCTCAAAAAGTGGAAACCTGGAGCAAAAGGCTGTCCTTTTTGCTGTGGTCCTCCAGGTGCCCTGAGCACTGGCGGTCAGTTGCTGATGAGCTGCAGCTCCAGCCACATCTGTCTGCTTCCCCTTCAAGCCTCAGCTGACAAGACTTTGGCACCAAGGAGACTTCAGACTAAATGACCTGAGAGCAATTTCAAACCCCAACAGGGCTGGGCTTGCATCCAACCCTGACTTTCATGGTGGACAAGTAACCCCTCTGGTTCTGTTTCGCCTTTGTAAAACAGAGACAGTTACCTTACAGAGCTGTTCAGAGGACTGAGTGTGATAAGGCACATACATTGTGCAGCACAGGACCCAGCACATGGTGAGTGCTGGGTACATCACTTTTCCTGTTGTTTTGTTGAAGTCAGAGAGCATTTGATTTGGGCAGCTCTATGAAGTAATGCTCGCAGGTCTCCGCAGCCCTGCCGACAGCACCCTCACCTGTTCAGTTTCATCAGAAAGATCTCATTCACTTTAACACACCTTTACAGAGGAGCTCCAACCCTGTGGGTTGACTCTGAGATACAACAGTAAATGGTCATTTTAGAGAAGGAAGGTGTATGATGAATCCAGTGCAAGACTAGGTGGGGTTTGTGCTCAGCCAGAGAGGAAAGCAAAGCAGGTGTGTGCTCTAATAGGTCACATCTGTCTGAAGCCTTTTCTCTCCTCACCAATTGTACAATTTCTCCCCCATGACCTGGATGTCCTTCCCCTCATCAGCCTTTTCACAAGCACAGTGCCTTCATAACCCCTCTTGCCCTTCATCAAACTTTGTTCTTTAGTCATTTATACTATGCTGTGAATGGCTGCCACCCACTCTTCTCCTAGGAGCACTGGCATGAAGTGTTACTCCCGATTGTGAAGGAAAGACTTTACCCACTGGAGCAAGAATTCAGTCAACAAGTGAACAATTATTTTGCCAGAAATGGAGAAGGAAAAGACAAGAGAACCTTTGCCGAAAGTGACAAAAAGACTGCCACACACAGTCACTTGTCTATGTCAGACCAAGCATAACGTGACAGTCACATTCCGAACAATTTCTCTGTGGAAATGAAATACGTAAATGAATCACATTTTATTATACTAGATATAATTTAACTTAGATGGAACTTTATAAAGAACCCTTTTACTGAATGAGTAATTCTTTTGCAAAACTGTTCATTTCTCTCCATTTCCACTTATGTGATTGGACGATTTCTCTTTTGTAGTTTTGTGTTTGCCTGTTTGACTAAGGTGGAGTTTTCTTTCTAAGTTATGCTCACATCCATCCATCCACCTACTGGACTCTTTGCCAACATGTTCTGAACTGACCTCCGGAGCTGCCCCTACCCTGAGTGCCCCATCTCTCCCTTTCTCCAAGAAGGCCATTTCACCCATGCTGTCATCTTCCAAGTCAGGAGACTGATGCTCACTCTGCCCTCTTCGGCCACCCTTCTTCCCCACACTGTTCTTCCTCCCCAAGACATTGCAAGCCCCAGCTTCTCTCCATCTCTTTGCTCTTCCCTTGGTCCTAACGCGCCTTATCTCCTCCCACTGTACAATCCTGAAGGCTTCTGGACTCATCTCCCTCCTCTGGTCATGTTTCCTCAAAACGGTTTTCTTCAGAAACTTCACCAATCTGGCTCTGCACAGAGACGATCTGCTGGGAGATGGAAGTGTTGGGGCTACAATCGGGGACAGATAGCCAGGGTCCTGGCTCTTAAAGGGCTCGCTGGGAATCCTGTGACACATGGCATTAAGAGTTCACTGCTTCCCCTCTCTTCGGCCCCACTGCCAGCCAGTGTATTTATCTGCAGTCTCTGTAGTCAACACCAATAGCAAACAGCCCAGGGTCCACCTCCCTCCCTCCTCCTCTCACTCACCCACCCCCTGCTCAGGCACAGCATACTCTCCTACAAATGCCCCTCCTGGACACCACCTTCCTTTGCTCATGGAAAAGCCCTTGTTTCTCACTCTGGAAGACTCTGCTTAGCTATTTCTGGCTTGAGAGGCCCTCTCTGGCCCCCCTTTCCTGTTGTGACTTTTATCACTCTCTCCCTTCTCTCTTCTGCCACTTCTGAATTTACTCGACTTCTATTACCAAATGGATTACCACTGACCACACTCATGCCTTTAGATAATCTCTAGGTTCTTTGAATATGTAATTCATACATTTGGTCCACTGGGTTGAACATGTACACTTATTATGCAGGTGCTGTAGCAGGTGTTGGGGCTACAATGAGGGACAGAGAGACAGGTCCTGGTCCTTAAGGAGCCCACTGGGAAGACGGGCAATTAGCAAACACCACTAGGCACAAGAAGTGTGTGTGGGATGAGTAAGTACAGGCATTGAGCACACCTATTCCATAATGAGAAAGGCTTCCAGAGGAAGTGGCAGCTGATGGAGACTTGAAAAATGTTAGCAAGGTAAAGGGGAAAAGCAGAGAAGAGAGAGATTCAGGCTAGGAAGACCACCTGTGCAAGGGCCCAGAGGGAACTCAGAGCCAGGCAGCTTTAAGAAACAGAAAAGGTTCTGTGACACAGATCTCAGCACCAGAGAAGCTGGCAGGAAGGGCTGGGGAGTGGGAGAGACGGGCTGCAGAGAGAGGGGGCCCCATGCAGGGATGTGCTTGGTTCTGGGTCCTGGAACCCACTGGGGGATGGCTGCAGAGAACCTCAGCAGCAGAGAATTCTCAAGACTATCCTGGCACCTGTCTGTGTTCCTCACTGCTCTACACACCTGCTTCCTGTCCTCCTTCCCGCTTCCCCTGCCAGCACGGAAAAGTGCCCAATGTAAGGGCTCAGTAGACACTTGGTGCACTGCCCTGAGATGGAGAAGCATTTACACCAGCCTCAGAACTGGAGTTGGTGGCCGGGCGCGGTGGCTCAGGCCTGTAATCCCAGCACTTTCGAGGCGGGCAGATCACCTGAGGTCAGGAGTTCAAGAGCAGCCTGGCCAACATGGCAAAACCCCATCTCTACTAAAAATGCAAAAGTTAGCCAGGCATGGTGGTGGGCACCTGTAGTCTCAGCTACTCAGGAGGCTGAGGCAAGAGAATCACCTGAACCCGGGAGGTGGAGGTTGCAGTGAGTCGAGATCAGGCCACTGCACGCTAGTCTGTGAAACTCCGTCTCAAAAAAAAAAAAACAAAAAACGAAGGAGGCCTCCTGGAATATGGGACTGAAACCCCGAGTTTCTCGTATTTGATGAGCTCTGTGACAGACTGGGGCTCTTCAGGAAGCCGTGTAAGAGTGTGGCATCTGCAGGCTTCCCTGCGACAAGCTGGGGTCTACTGTGTTTACTTGGGGTCTGCAGGCCCTCTAGCCTCAATGATGAAGTGGCAGCACTTGATCTTGACGGCCACTCAGAAGTCAGAGCCTAAGCAAGATCATGGCTCCCCTCCTAACCTCAGAGCAGTACTTTCTGTTTAGAGAACAGCATTGTCTTTGCATTGCTTCACCTTCTGAATTGCGTCGACCCCTATCTGTAAGGAGGGCAGCTCTGAGGAAGGGCAAGATAACGTCTGCAGAGTGCCCAGCGTGGCGTTCAGCCCATGGTGGGCAGGAGACCAAAGCTGCATCTCTTTTGTGGCTCCTATGATTTTGTGTTCCTCCCTTGGAACCAGGATGAAGGAATAGGAGTGTCCCTGGCTATTCATGACCATGGGAAAGAGGACCAGGTTGAAGGAAGAGGACATCCGCCACATGGAGGGGAGGTGCTGCCAGGTGCCAGGATGCCACAAGCACCAGGGGTCTGTGCCCCTTTCTGTGGAGGCTGGGGGTGGGGCAGGTGGCTTTCAGGGGGCCCCCACTGACACTGGGTTGTGCCCCCCAAAGAATTCCCCATCCGCATCAGGAGAGATGGCCTATTAGACATGGCCTCCATGCCTCAAGTCTTGTTTCTTTTGGGCTTGAGTAGGGGAGACCCACCCGAAGTCAGTGAGTTGGCTAGTAAGTGTCCTGACTCATCAATGGTACTGGCCTCCATGTGACTTCAGGTAAGTCTCTGCTTTTCACAAGACTTCAGGAAGAGGTGATCTCAAAAGGTCCCTCCCTCTCTTCTGAGTCTGGGATCTATGTCTGAGGGCCCCCAGGTCATTGCTCTCTTGGGGGAAAACCGTGGCCAAAGCTCATTCAGTCAGCTCTTAAAATCCACCGCACTCCCCACTTCGCTTCTCCCCACCCTGAACTCCTGTCCTCCTGTGGCCATCCCTTCTCTCTCCCAGCCCTGCCAAGGCCCTTGCCCCTCTTTTGGCTGTGGCCTGGGTTTATGTGAGTGTTTGACCAGTGGACTCTGCTCTTTGGGGTGACAGGGACACTCTGCCGTCCCCAGGGCTTGCCTCTTCTGGGCCTCTCCCTCCCAGCTACCACAGCCTGCGTTCCACCTTCCATTGTCTCTCACCCACTCCCATCTCTAAGCACTCCACCCTGCAGACAGGGTGACCTTTCCAGATGCTGATCTGGTGTATCATTCACGTCACCTTGAATTCCTCAGTGGCTCCCCATTGAGCTCAGGAAAAATGCTCAAGGCCCTGGCATTCAAGAGTCTTATTTATTGGACCCTGACTTACCACCCTGGCTTCACCTTTGAGGACCCAGCTGTTTGCATTCCTAAATTTCACCCCATCCCTTATCTTCATTTGCCTCTTTATCCAGCTTGAGTGTCAAGGGCTTTATTTTAATCTAATGTGCTTCACCCCTAGGCCTTTGTCTTCATGTCCCAGCCCAGTGACAAGGCTCCATGTGTAGTAGAACCTACCTGTCTGCTCCTTCCCTGCCAAATGCTGCTAGAAGAGAGGCTCTGCAAGGCAGCCTTGTCCACTGCGGGTTCCCAACCACCAACCTTTATCCACCTGGCAACAGGTAACTCATCAACTCACTCTCCCATTTTCAGGGGAAATCTTCACCTTTTCCATGTCTTTAACCTTTTTATTCCAGGGTGGAGTGGATGCCCACCCTGCTACATATGCATGTGTGCCCACATGTGCACACACACACACACTCAGCAGACAGCCTTGCCTCCCTATGTCACATAAAAGAGAGATCCTATGAAAAGGAATTGTCTCAGCTTCCCTCAAAGGGCATCCTCTCTGCCTATCCCTCCTTGCCCAGTCACCCCTCTCTCTCCCCTACACCTCCACTCTACCAACAAAGCAGAGGATCTGCCCTCCTTTGATGTCCAGACCCCCTTCCTGGGCCTTGGAAAGTATCTCTTCTCTCCATCTCAGGACCCTTCCACCTCTCTTT